AGCCACCATAAATACCAGTGGGGGGGCCAGTACTAAACCTTCATCATTACTGAACCCTCTGGAAGCATCAGTGGTGTCTGAGGGTGTGGAGGGAGTGTTTTGAAGTGTGGCAGGTACCCCCCAACAGGTCCAAACAAACGATCTCTAATTCAAAGTATTCTTTTGGTTTTCATCCATACTTTCTTATGAAAATATCAAGAAAGTAATTATCTTTCATTTGCCCACTCAACTCAGTTCTTCTTCCTTCAACCTACATGAGAAATTGTTCAGCTTGACCCTTCTACCGTAGATCTTCTTGAATTTCTTTCTAGTCCTTAGCCATGTTTCATTTTTCAATGGTGCTGTGGTGAAATTAATTAGTTAAGAAGGTCTTGGATTCTACAGCTATTCCAACAAAGGTTCCTCTTCAAATCCTTTTTCATTTTCATCTATTCATATCCATAAACTGCATCAACTCAACAGGAATCAACCAACTCAAGGAGGATTTCCACCATAGAGGGTGGGATCATGCGATGCAGGGATCAAAAGCCTGGATTGGAGCTAGTTGAATCCTTGTTGAGCTGTCAAAGCTTATGCATAAGGAGCATAATGTTTGACCAGGAAGAAAAATTTTGAAGAAGAAAAACAAATTGGGACATGGACAACCTTTTCTGAAATTGCATTTTTCTTCATCAGATCTCAAACACAAAACTTTGTGACTTGACTTGGCCTTGAAGTGATGGGAATGTGGAGAATTAAGAACCCATCTGTGAGCTGAGTATACATTGGGGGGGGGGGGCAATGAAGCAAGACATTGAAGAGATTCAGGCTTTATATGAGTTAGAATTCTGACACTGTCATGTCTGTCTCTTTCCATTCAAATCTCACTCCTTCACTCTTTTCATCTGTCCCTCTTTTGTCTTCCTCCAGATGTCAGATCCAGTCCACCATGAGTCCCACAACCTAGCCCACCTGTTGTAATAGCTTAATTAATTCAAAGCTTGGATAGAGAAATAACCTCAAGTCTGTGCACTTTTCATTTGAGGTCATCAAAGTACACAACCTCATGTAGAGTGAGTGCTTTTCCACCATGCACGCTAGCAGCTCTGGCCCCTTTTCATGGACTCATTGACCTTAGTTTTCTCCTGAGCCTTTTGTCTCTCTCAAGATCTCTTTCCAGCGACTCTCCCCCGCTTTCGCTCAGCCCCAACATGAAATATTCATGATTATGCATCTCTTGCAGTGCACCTGTGCAAGGAGAGGAAAAGAAGCAGAAGAGGATAGGACCACAAGATCTGAAAGAATCACAGCCTGAGATTCTTCTTCTTTTCTCCTTGTCTGCTCACCGTTGTTTCCTTCTTTTCCCGCTTTGCTCTATAGCCACACCCGACTTTGCAAAAACAAATTACATGACCTTAGTTGACATTAGAAGAGAAAACGAAAGGCCACCAATTGAGCAAGGCCAAGTGTACTTAACCTGATCAACAAATGGGAGAAGTGACTCGGATGGGAGGGAAGAGAGAGAAACAAGAATCTGTAAAAGGAAGGCGCTGGGGAGTTCATTCGCCAGTAGAGAGCCGAGAATCGACGGTCTGGAAGTGTTCGAAGAAGTTCTCGAAGAGCGCGGTGAGATAGACCAGGTCCTGGCAGCCGGCCTGTTCGCGGATCGAGTGCATCGAGACTGGTCCGATCACCATCAACATCAACATCCTCCTAGGTACCTTCCCCTCCCCCAAAAAAAAGGATATATTCTTGAAAAAAAAGAGAAGAAGGTGTGGGACTGACGTTGTGGACATCCTATGTCGACCGTGCGTAGGCCGATCTTCGAGACCAATGGACCGATCGTCGATCCTGACAGTGTTACAGATACTTACATTCAGCTACGATGGACTAGGCTTACAAAGGATTTTCAGGGAAAAAACCCAAACTCACCACACGCCATATCATTGCGGACTTCGTACTCTTGTAAGGGCACCTATTTGATGATTTGTGTGTGATGTCCAAGAGAGCTTGGTCAGACTTGCATCTATCATTTAATTTTGCTCTGCCTTTTTCTCCTTGGATGTGTGTGTGTGTGGGGGAGGGGGGGGGGGGGGAGTTTACCTTAGCTATCGCGGCCACTTGACGGAGCAAGAACGTCGTCGCAGCGGTACTTGAAAAATTATCATACGCAAAGAAATAAAAGAAATAAGTAGGACCGAGTCAGTCAGGTCACCCCTGACATTGCCATAGTCAAATCACTCACCTCGCATATCTTTGTTTGGCATTCGTTTTGATCGCCGGACCTTTGTTGATGAGCGGACGATGATTTTGCTCATGTTTCTCAGGATAACAGGGATGTACGGCATGTCTACACAGACAGAAAGAAAGAAAAAAACCAAGAAAACATCATGATCATCAAAAACACGTCATCGATTGAGATGAGAGAGCAAAGACAAAACTGGAAGCATACCCCATATCACAGCTGAGTAAGAAGGAGGCAGCAAGCGTTTGTTCGGTTAAGGCTGGCGAGGGTTGGTTCATGAATGAGCTGGAAACTCGAGTGAGAATTGCTTCTAAGAAGTTTGATTCAGCTCCTTGGTGAGAGACCGAGCCGATCTCTTCATTATCCCTTAATACACACAAAGACGCACAAGAAACAAGTTGACTGAACAGACTTAAACAAAATTGATGAGCTATATGTGAGGGACATACCAAAGCGCGATCGTGCGAATGAGTGCGCTCTGTTCGAGTCCTTTCGAGTTAGGTCCACCCTCGACGGATTGTGCGAGGGCCTCAAAGGCGGCAAAGGAGCTGAAGAGGTTGTCGAGTCTGGGGGAGAAGATGAACTCGGCCCGGCCCCCGCCGACGATCGACGGGCTGGTGTCGAAGAGCGACAGCTCGAGGTCATGGATCTCGCTCTCCTTGACTGGCACACCAAGCTTCTCCGACAAGGCCTCCGCCAGGATCGAGAGCAACAACGGATGGTGGTTCTCTTGGGTCGACAGCGCAGACTTGCTGATCGCGGAGGCCGACTCGGTCGGCTTCGCAGTCTCATTCAATTGTTCAGTGGCCATCGAGAGGATTGGAATCATTTGGGTTTCGGGATTATATCTATGAGATAAGAACCACTAAATGGTCTGCTTCTCTCTCTTTCTCTCTCTTTCTTCTTCCCTCTTCCATGAAAAAAGAAATATGTAGAGTGGTCTTACTTGAGTTGATCGGTTTGAGTTCTTTCGAGGTGGATAGCCAGGGTAGGAAAGCGTAGGATCGGGCGCGGGATATGGACGAGATGGGAGACAAAGCTATCCGAGTCGGTGGATCCACTGGGTTGGTCCTTGACAATCACTCGTCCAGCAATTCCAAGGTCTCGATCTAACCAGGTCGGCCAGATCCCTCCCCCATACGTCTCAACTCCCACTTGAAGATATCCCATTTTGGTCTGTTTGGATACCGGTCGAATTTTAAAACAAGGTCTAATACACATCCCCACCAAAAAAAAAGGAATCAATTCTCGACATGTGAAAGGATTTAGCAGAGGATGAATGGAAGTCGAGGGGAAGGAAATACTCTATCCACTCACGAGTCTGTGTGACAGCCTACGATCGCCATTCCGTTTCCAGGCTCATAAGCCCCACCAACAGCAAATGCAACTGAGAGCACAAAAAAAATTCCAGGAGGTTAGATCAATTTTCATCTTCGATTTTAACGGCCTGTAAATTTCAAGCCAAAAAGAAACTGAACTGATAGAGCTCTGATTCCTAGCAAAGAACAAGAAAAAGGGATATTTTAGCCCCAAGAACAAAGGTGTGTTTATTTTTTTTTGGGGGGGGGGGGAGGGAAATAAATCATCATACCTAGTCACGAAATATTTCCCGCCCTTTTGGATCAACCCGTTCCATTGGTCGCGTTCCTTTAAGCGTTTGAATCCTGCAGATTCCAGACGTTTGATGGCATTTGAAACCGCATGGAATGGGGTTGGAGATTGGTTGATGAATGTTAGGAACTTGTCGACGATCGTCGGTGGTGATGGATGATGAAACTGTGTATAAAAACAATGGATATATGAGTCAGTGTCCTGTTTCTGTTGCGAGTATGTATTTATCAAGCAAGAGTGATGAGTAGTTTGTTTTTGGACTGACCATGTTTGCTTATTAATGGTGTGTGGTGGGTGGATTGGCGTGAATCTGTTTTTGGGGAGGAAGTGACGTAGTCTATCCCCCCGTGGGCATCCGGGGCCGGACGGGGGGATAGGGATCATACATACTCAGCAGAGGGAGATCGGTGTGAGTTGGAGTTCATCAACCAGCCAAAAAAAAAAAAAAAAAAGAACAAAACGATGAAGAAGACGGTCATCAACGAGGTAGCAAGCTCAGCCAAGAAAGCATTCGACGAACTGCAATCGATCGACGATCGAAACAAGAAGACCGAAGGACTAGAGAGACTGAAACGAGCACTGGTCGAGAGGAAGGAGGAGATACTCAGGGCGAACGATCTGGATGTTCAGGTGAGGAATCTAATCCGGAGAAACAATCCATAGAAAGAGTGGATTACAACAATCTCACTAAAACCAAATAATAAATATGTAAAATATGTACACAAATCACAATCAGTTGATCACAAGAACCTAAACATCAACAAAACAAACAGGCTGCAGAAGGATTAGTCAAGGAAGGCAAGCTATCCGAGTCGATCGTCAATCGATTGAACCTACGCTCGAGTTCGGACAAGTTTGACTCGATCGTCGATGGGATCGAAGCGGTCATCAAGCTCGAAGATCCAACCGGGAAGATCCAGTCGGTCACCAAGCTAGATGAAGGACTGGAGCTCTACAAGGTCAGCTGTCCGATCGGCGTCCTCCTAATCATCTTTGAGGCTCGTCCGGAGGTGCTCGTGAATATTGCTGCCCTGGCCGTCAAGAGTGGTGCGCAAAGATGCATTCTGGTACTCATCTATGTAGTTTTCTTCAGGTAGATAATGATCGATCAAAAGGATACTTGTCTGTTTGATTAGGGAATGCGGCGATCCTCAAGGGCGGCAAGGAATCGAACAAGACCCAAGAGGTCCTGACGACGATCATCAATGAGGCCCTCTCGAGCTGTCTGCCAGCCAATCTGATCCAGACCGTCTCCTCTCGATCGGATATCAACGAGCTACTCGAACAGAATCAGTTCATCGACCTCGTCATCCCTCGTGGGAGTAAGGAGTTGGTCCAGTTCATTCAGAATCATACCAAGATCCCCGTCCTGGGCCATGCCGATGGTCTCTGCAATATCTATGTGGACCAAGATGCTGATCCTCAGAAGGTCATCCGATGTGTCTTGGATGCCAAGGTAAGGCTTTCTCTTGTCGTCTCCACGTTTGAGAGAGCTTCGCTTAACTCAATCTATGATCCGATCTCATCCTCTTAGACCACTTATCCCGCAGCCTGTAATTCGGTGGAAACCCTACTGGTCCATCGATCCTGGCTAGGGGATTCGTTTACCGAGCTAGTGCTGAGCCTGTTGAACGAGAAGGTGACCCTGAAACTCGACCAAGCCAGTTTGGATGTACTCAAGTCGAGTGGCAAGGTGACGAACCATCTGCTGTTTTGGTCGAACTGTTCGTTGGCACGGGAGGAGGATTTCAAGACGGAATGGTTATCCTTGACGCTCTCGATCAAGACTGTGGATGATCTGACGGCGGCGATCGAGCACATCAATCAGTACTCCTCCCATCACACCGACTCGATCCTTACCGAGTCGAGCAGTCATGGGAGCCGTTTCTGTCGTGCGGTGAATAGTGCGTCGGTCTATGTGAACTGTTCGACCCGGTTTGCCGATGGTTTTCGGTATGGGTTCGGGACAGAGATCGGGATCAGTACGAGCAAGATCCACTCGCGCGGTCCGGTTGGCTTGGATGGCCTGGTGATCTATAAGTGGATGATGTTTGGGAGTGGCGATCGGGCTCATATCACGGCTGATTACGGGCAGGGCAAGCTGAGACAGTTCCTGCACTCGAACGTCCCAGTCGATCAACCTGGTCTCTTTAATCCCTTCTCTTCCGATTAGATCTGCTTGTTTTTTTTTTCTCCTCTTGTTCCATTGTTTCTGTTTCTATTGCTTGGATGGGATGTAGATAGATGATACACAGATAGCTCGTTATTGAAATATCCAAACTGATTGATGAAATCTCAAAACCCCCTCGTTCGTCTCCTTGTTCCTGTTGAGCCTGTTGCTCCATGAGCAGTCCACTCCCACCCAGAACCACCCACGAAGATGGCAGGCGCACTCCTACTCGACTCCCTCCTCAGCAGGACCATCCCAGCCAGACTGCTCATCCTCCAGGACTGTCCAGCCCAATCAGCACACCCAATCATACACCAACTCAACACCACCATCCTCATCAGCACCAGCAGCAGCACTCCATCAACAACAGCAACAACAACAACATCCCACTTCAATCTCAACCAACTAACAACCGAACAGTATCGGAACACCATCCTCAATGCCATCTCCATCCAGGTTCGTCAGCTCTCTCCACATACGACCATGTACACACACACTGATCTTATGGGCCTATTAGAAAGCATCACCCGTCTCGATCGTCCTCAACTCCATCCAGGAACTCTGTCAGCTGATCTCTGACCACCTGGCCTTCAAATTCATCAGGAATATATTAGAACTCTTGCCGAATCGTATGTCGCATAACTTTCTATTTTGAGATAAAAAACCGACGACTTATAATTTGTGTTCCCCACAGCCGAATCCCGTCTGATCGTAGTCGATTCCCCTCATCTCCAAATCAGTTCCTCGAACAAGAGCGTCGACTGCTCCACCGCCCTCCGCTCCTCATCGCTGTCGACGAGCTACATACATCTGACGCTGCATCCGACCAGTCTGCTCGACCATCTGATCAATGTCTATGGGCTGCCGGTGCCGATGCCGTCGCGGCAGCCAGTGGGGACGCATTACGACGTGCGTCTGTTCGGCTTGCTGGCCGAGCTAGCTGGGGAGTGTGAGCCGTATCTGGAGCCGATCGGCGGGGGGAAGGACGGGCTTCAGGTGGTCCCTCAAGCGCTCTTGGTCCCCCCTTCTCTCGCCGAATCCTGCTCGCCCAACATCCTCGGAACCTGCATCGTCCAATGGGCGGCCAAGAACGTGCCCCTCGCCCCATCCATTCCCTCCGCCTCCATCGCCCTCAAACCCGCCACGCTTAAGAAAAACGCCCGCATCGGAAGACCGTCCACCCATCTCGCCGCCATCCAAGTCGGCCTCGAGGCCCTCAAACTCGTGCCCACTCCCCTTGGATTCACACTCCTCCCTTTACCGGTCTCCAAGGTCCTCGTCAAGCGCACTTTCAAGCTCTTCACCGGACCAATCAACCAGGTAGGATCCGTCCCCCCCTCTCTTCATCTTCTCTCTTCTGGCCATCGTCTGGCTGAAACCCCATCCTATTGAAATTCTTCCCCAGTCCACTCCTACATCCGATACCCATCAACACCAACTTACCTTCAACTTGGCCTTGACCGACAAGCAACGTGCCGAGCGAGAAGCCGTCGCGTTGCCGTTCCTCCCTCGACGAGCTGAGGATGGCACAGGTAATCAAAAAACAAACTTTTTTTTCCCTTTCTATACAACTCGTCACTCACTCCCCTTGTCTCTCTCTCTCTCTCTCTTGTTTAGTGATCGAGGCGCCGGGACAGATGTTTGACGGCTCGTTCCAGAACTTTCTTCCTTCCAATAACATCAATATCAACAGTAATAATACTCATAATAATCCGAACAATGCGGCGAAGAGTGGGATGATTCTCTACGAGCCCGACTCGGCTGACGACTTGGACGACGAAGAGCCCGACGACGAGCTCTGATGAGGCGTCTTTTTTGGTCTGAGAGAGCATCGGCTGGGCCTCTGTCATCGGCTTTCTGGCCCCACTCCTCCGAAGAAAAAGAAGAAGAAAGAAAAAGGATATTTTATGGAATATTGGGGTTGTGTTCATTCATCTACTTGCTTATATATATCGTTGAGATTTGTACGTGGTCGAATGGGCGTGGACCGGGCCTGCGGTTTTTTTTATAAGCTTCCGGTACAGACCACGACCGCGATATCTTCAATGAATCTTTTGTGGTTACTCTTAATTCTTTGTTTCTTCAGGCGGCTCTGCAATCGTCCAGTTGGAGATTTACCACACATTCTGGACAAAAAAGAAGTCCGCACAATCTATATTCACAAGGAGCATCCATCCCTCCTGAGTTCCAAGCCACCCTCTCTGTTTTTCGTCACGCTGGCAATCGAAGCAGTTTAACACTCTATTGAACACTGCATTTGACGCTCCTCATCATCAGTGCTTGGTTCAATTGGGAACTGGGGTGGCTCGGGCGTGTGGATAAGATGATTGCAGGACCCCCTGGAAATCCCCGCTAAATGTGGGTGAGGAAAGTCCCGCAATTTTGACTCAGGGGGGGGGGGAATGGCATATTCGGGCGCATTCATCCACATTTTGTGCCTTTATGTTTGGACTGAAATCCACTGCATTGATAAGATGCAGGGACCAGCCATTTCTTTGTGGGGGTTTGTTTCCCCACCAAGGTTGGCGGATTGTATATGTTCTTTGAATAACCTGTTTGGCGTGCAACCTTTCAGACAGCTTTCATACCACTTGCTTGTGTGTTGTACGTTTTTTTTTTCGGGGGGGGGGGGGATTTGTATGTCATTTAGGTCACCGGGTGCACTTACATTGTTTAAGGGGTTCTAGGGTCCTGTTATGATCACACATTTGAGAAGACAGTGGGCGGAAAAGTATGGAGATCTGTAGAGACAATTGAAAGGTTCCTGGAGGTTGAACTTGCAGTGGATCAATTGGAATCTGTGCATTCCTGTTGTCCATGAAATAATATAATTCACAGTGGGTGCCCTGTTATCTTTGGCTGCTTGGTATGGATTCCAGAGCTCCATAGAACAAGCTTGAAGTCACAAGACTTGGTCAAGTGGTCCAGAATAGGTCCCAGAAAAATGAAAATGAAAAAATAAATAAAAACAAAAAACAAAGGTTCAAAATTGGTGAAAAATAACATTTTTTCTTTGAAAGCTTTGTGATTCATTTTGGGGAAGTGTGCAGAGTGCTGAGAGAAAGAAAGAATGGGAAATGGAAAGAATGATTATACTTTGGAAAAAGTGGTGACCAGATAGTTTTAACCAGTTGTTGAGTGGGGCATTCACCAGATCACATTGCAGTAAAGCACTAGAAATCTACTGTTTTGACCCCAATTCCCACCCCCCCCAAAAAAAATGAATATGAAAGCTTTTGAAAAAAAAAAATCAAATTTGTTTCTTATTTTTCACAAATTTTGAAACTTTGTTTTCTATTTTTATTTGTTCATATTCATTTCTTCTGGGTCCTATTCTGAACCACTTGACCAAGTCTTGTGACTTCAATCTTGTGCTTTGAAGCTCTGGAATCCAAAACAAGCAGCCAAAAATAATGGGGCACCCACTGTACATAGACTCTTTGTTTGAAGTGTCTTCTATGTTGGCATGGAACGGTTAAATGTTTTAATTCTGTATGAAATTGTGAATCACTTCACTCTAGCATTTGATCCAGCTGTTAATCCAGAAACACAAATCCAAAAAAAAAAAAAAATCTTTATGGAAAAAATGGAACTTGATTCAACTAAATTTACAAACTCTTTTTTTACATACATCAACATGAAGCTTAAATGGTTGTCTTGATCACTCTCTGAATCAATGCAGATTTTTTGGAATGAGTGTTTTGAATTTGATGCAAGATGCAAGCTAACATGGGGTGACAAAAAAAGAAAGCCAATTGTAATGGTAACTGAAAAAGAAAAGCTGTCTTAAGTTGGTAATTTCTGGGATTTGTTAAGAGACAAGATGGGTTTATCATTCAGATTAGGTTTCAAGATTAAGTTGAATTTCTTATCCTGGAAATGGGTATGATAAACATTCTTGATTTTGGAAATTTGGGACAAGAATTTTGAGTTGTGAAGGTCTTGAAGCTTTGCCTCCCTCGAGAAGAGATTCATTGGACTGTCATTATTGATTGAGATGTTTTGTTTAAACTTGATTCTATCAGATGAGTTTTGAAGCAATTGCACAATCTTGAAAAACTGGCTCGATTTCTTGAATTTTTCATAACTTAAATGGCCAAATTGATTGGTTGAAATTAAGCCTCCTAATTGATTGAGTTCATCTGGAAGAAGGTGCTTTAGTTTCTCCAGATCAGCTTGATTCAGCTCAGCTAGTTTGATGTTTTTGGCCAATTTATTTGCTAATTCTTTGTCTTCTTTTGATGGTCTAAAAGTTTTGATCAATTTCTGTTCAACTGCTAGTTTCTTAATGGTATCCTTTGCTTCAGTAGTCGAGATATCTTCATACTTATTTGAAGACAGACTGTGATGGATCTTTGCTTCAAATGGATTGAGCCCGGCATGGGTCTCATGAATCAAGTGGTGTAGTCTTTCAAGTGCCAGTCCCTCCAAGCTCTCAGCGGGAGTTTTCAAAGCAGCTTGGAATTCGTGGGAATGTATCAAGACCTTACACCGCTCAGCAAATGTAAGGAATCTTGCTTGCAAATGCTGAAAGGCAGGTAGCTTGGACTCCGGAGGAATTAACATCCCCTTGATCAGATCCGTCGGTTTGTGATGGACCCGGAACTCCCACAGGGGAGTGAAATAGATTGCCTTGTTGTAGAGCTCAACTTTTATATCTCGACCATGGGGCCCTGAGATGTAGTGGTACTCTGGTGTACCTTTCAGTATTTGCTCGACTTCTTTAGCTTTATCAGATTGAGAGATTGCTAAGCGTCTCTTCCTATGATTTTCAGCCCATCGAAGCTCCTCTGGGCCGATTTCCAAGTGTTTGATTCCATGCTCTAGCTTGTCTAATAGTTGATGCTGATTGGAATCTATTCCCTCGGTGTATTTCATTTGGTTCAGTCGATGCATTGCAGCTTTTTCAGGTGAAAGCAGCTCATTTTCAAGTTGTTTTCTTGTGACCTCCTTTAGATCAGGGTGTAAGGGAAACTTGAGTTGCTCTTTCATCCGGTCATAGTGCCTTGCTAATTGCTTGATCTCTTTGATTTCGGATGCTGTCAGTTCCTGATGAGGTAACCTTTCTGAGGTGGAGTTTACATATAAGTTGGTAATCTTCTGGCCAAGTTTCAGATGGAGCGCAAGTTTTTCTGGCGTCATGGGATGATGTGCATTGGCTTCCAAGACGTTAAAAGCTTTCCGTATTTGTAGATCTGTTGCGAGTTGGCTCAGTCGACTTTTCTTGTTGTGCAATTTTTGGATTTTTAGAGCGGCCACAAGTTGGTGAAGTTTACTAATTTTCTTCTTTTCTAATTGTTTGCTTTCGTTCTCCAAGGATTTCATCCATTCCACGTCATCGTCTGTCCATCCCAAACCATCTTTCTCTTTCTTGATCAATTCTTGTAGTTCATTCAGGATGAATTTTTGATCATCTGGATTGATTCCATGCAATTGATCTGTCTTGAGAGTTTTTCTCAATTTTTCTTCAAGTCCATGTACCTGCTCTTGTCTTCTAACTGCTACGGTACGATGGCCAATTGTTTCCAGTAATGTTCCCTCATCAAGGTCAAGTGGAATGAAATAGTTGATGTCGGAATTAGCAGGACTCAGCTTCTGAGACATCTCAGAAATCTTTCTTGCCAATTGCTGTTCCTGCCAGGTTATCTGAAAGCCCGCCTTTTGCACTTTTTCCAGTTGCATTATGATCCTCTCCTCCTCCATCAGCACCCTATGTGGGAGCTGACTCAGGATCTTTCGCAGTGATTGTCGTAGTTGTTGGCTTTCCCAATGCTGGTTAGCAAAGAAGAACTTCCACAAGGAGTAGAAATAACCGAAGAAACCTTGAGTTTCTCTCTTGAATCTGTAATCTTCCTCTTCTGATTTCCAAATGTTTTCCCAGAGCTGCTCTTCCTCTCTCCTGAGTCCTTTCTTTAACTCTTTAGCCAATTTGAACTGATCAGGTTCCAGGTCTTTTTGATCAAAAATTCCAATGAGCCAAGCCCTCATATTTTCCAGAAGATTTTCGGCTTGCTGAATTTCTTTCCAAAGGTATAATTTGAGTGCTTGGTGGGCCTCGAGGACCTGTGGGTTGTCTCTCGCTTCCCTCAGGCGATGTAATGTATCAGTAATCTTTTCCAATTCTTTTCTCTGAGCCTCTCCGGAATCACCACCACAAAAGACCGAATTGAATTGCTTGTCGGTTAAATCTGATACCCGCTTTTCACCAAGATGGGGCTGATACCCCCCTTGGAGGATGGACTGGTAATCTTGATTGGTAGGAACAGTAACATTCCTTGGATTGTCTGACTTTTCTTGGGATGGACCACTGATTGTTGAGTTGTGCTTCAGGTATGATCCATGGATTTGTTCATTGACTTCTGACAGACTACCGGGATTCGGAATGTCGTACATCGCTATACTTTGCATCACTATATTGCAAGTAAAAGTAAGTAGAATGATTACCATGCGATTTGTGTTGGTGTGATGTGAGAGGATACATAATAGCTGAAGAGGCCTCATGGATTGGAATTAGTGGTAAGGCGATTTTCAAGAGAGGTTAGCGGCTATGCCGGAAATTCCCACGCGTAATCTTCTTCAATTTTTGATATCTTGATTAAAAAATTCTTCAAGGCCCCGAAAGACGATAAAGTGGGCGTGACGTGGACAGTTCACCTATACATGCCCGCAGACGTGAAGCTAATTAATAGACTCATGATTGGTTGTTCCAAAGAAGTAGACGGTCCAAGTTCCTCAACGAGAGGTCTGTATGGCTATAAGCTATGTCCGAAGGAGTCCATCCAAACCTTACGAATCACTCCGCAATCTACCTCACAAATCTCACCGGGGCCCTGAGGGTACGATTTCGGTTAAGCAAAGATTGTAAATTTTATTTCATACTATAAGTATTTCTATCATCGACCTCTATTACTATCCCTTTTTCAGCACCGCACTATGCTAAAAGCACTCCAGCGCTCGCTGCTACATGCGGGGTCTAAGATTACCAAATAACCACGTACTCTGTGACATGTGTTATGGATTGTCGAGTCACTGAAAGTAAATTACAAGTACCCCTTCCAGCACTCGTATGGACGGCGGGAATAAGAATGAAAATGTGCCCACAAGGCCGGTCAAGTTCGAGCGGAGAGATCAAATTTGCCATGCTTAGTGACCTTCGTCATTATCTTATTCCCTAGTGGTTTTACCGATTTCTACTCACTTCATACACAGGTCCCTCTGGGTCCCATGAATGCCCCCAACTTAATGAGCAAAAGCTGTTGCGGCCAACAGCAGGATATAGATTTGTGTCCTAAATTCTGGTGTGTCTTTGGACCAATCAACTTCCTCAGCCGTTGGGGATTAATGGAGAGAGTTTTAGCCAAAACACTACAGGTCAGACACTAGGGGGGTCACCATTGAAATTTACAAAAAATACAAAGCCCATTTTATGGCTTTATCAACAACCTTTTGACCAATGAATTTTCTTTCTGATTCTTCAGAAACCCCAGAATCTGTTGATCTTGTCAAAATTATAAAATGTTGTTAATGAGGACCTTAATTGGGTTAAGGTTAGGGTTAGTGCTAATTTGGGGAAATGAAAACTCTAGCCTTCTCTTGACTATTATCTATCCTTCAATCATAACAATGAAAAGCAAATCCATCTGTCAAAACACATAATTCTGGATGGTTTGACATTTTTTCTAAGGGAACACCTGTGCACTTAGACAGACAATTTCCCCTCTAACCACATAACAGATAAGTTCCACAAAGAGGTATGTGGCTAGATAAGTTTGAATGCAGCCTAGATGCAATTTTCTATCTCCACTGGTTGTTCCATCTCTAGTGCAACCCAAAGCCAATCAGCATCAAGTCACATAAAAGACAAGTGCTGACAAAAATTCAAAGGTAGGTTCCTGTCTTAGTGCAAAAATTGACTTTATTGCAAGCCCCTCCCCACAAGGCAGGTAAAGCCTGCTGCCAGTGTCATACATGCTGACAATACAGCTCCCACCAGGGAGGAATTTGATGATTCATTGATTCCCTGAAATGCATGTAAATGGTCAAGGCACAGTGTGGTACTTGTAAAGTAAATCCTGCAGAAAACATAAGTTGACAAAATGGTGGCAACTTGAATCCATTATTCATGTAGACAAGTGACGGTAAAAATGCATGAAAAAGAAAATGGTGTAAAGAGCTATCCAGTATGCAAAAAAACAAGAGGCTACAGGCTCATTTTTTATCATCCATCGAATAATATAACTCATTCCTTCAAAAAACCATTTGGCATCCAAGACCTGTCTTTGTATATAATTCATTTCATGGGGTTTCCTTCTCACAATTTCTTCTTGCTGATTCAAGACTATTTCAGAATTGAGATTTTGAGAGCTAGACAAAGCCTCTGAAACAAAATTGTTCTTTGAACTTAAACCAACGGGAATTTGATCTAGAGCCATGGAGCATTCTGAATTTGATTTGGGTTTGTCCTCCTTCATACATTCAGAGGATTGATTTGCATTCAGCAATCAATCAAACTGAATAAGAATCCAATTGAAAATTTCAAAATTATACTCACAGGAATTTCAAAACCATGAAACTCTTTGCTCTTGGAAGGGGATTCCACTGCTGAAATCACATTGCTTAATTTTGGCTCTGTTGGATCTATGGAATCTGAAAGATCTGCCAAGTTAGTAGAATCATCTTCTTCTGCATGTCTATTTTGAATTTATTTACCAATGGATTCCATGGCAAAACATCCTCCAATTATCTATGAAAGAATTTATCCTTGTTAGGCAGAGGAACTCTCATCCAGCATAAAATTGAAGCAGAAATGGCTCAACAAATAGTAAAATCAGCAACTTTTGAAGCATTGTGACAATGATTTATGATTAAAGTACTGAGTGCAGCTGTTTCAACTCAAGTGGAATCACTTGAAGGTTCTAAAATATTTGGGTTGCTTTGATCTTATTCAAGAAAAATGAACTTGTAGGATTCTAAGTAAAAGAGTGCAGCTGCTGGGCTGGAAGGACAAAAACTGCCATCACACCCTCAATTTATATTTTATCAAACACTCAAAACTTGTTTATGAATAATATTTTTTTCAGTTCATTATTTCAATTGAAATTTGAAACATAAATGTAAAAGCATAAGTGTAAACACAATTTCAACAGATCATGTAGGTAGTTCTGTACCAAAATTCATGTGTGAATCATACTTTTGATTTTGAATACCAATTTTGAAAAAACATTCAGCAGTTTTGGCCAATTTAGCATTTTTTTTTTGGGGGGGGGGGTGCAGGGCAGGTTCTTCAGAAATTTCCATAATAAATCTGAAGATCTGACAGTTATAAAAACAAGTGCATACTGACAGTACAAAACTGAAATTTCAAGCCTGCAGTAAATACAAGGATGTTGAACTTGCCATAGATTTTACGAAAAATGCAAAGTTTCTCAAACCTATGTTGAAACATGTTTTACATTGAATTTCAAATTTGAACTGTGTGATTATCATTCTGTGCTTATTTTTAAAGAATGATAAATAACATACCTGGTAGCAAGACTGAAACTGACACAATTCATGTATTGGTGTTGGGGTGTATTGTCTCTATTTTTGGCCTGATACCTGGTATCAGTATTTTGTTTGTTGGTGTGACAATCCAATGTGTCTTGACCCATGCAAGACAATACACATGTCTCTGTTTTGGAACTGATACAGCCAGATATCTTGTGTATTAAAGAACATTTTGGGGGGGATTGTATTAGGAAAGCAAGACAACATAAGGATTGAGATTTTTGGGTATTGAAATTCTGAGACAATAACAATAAATACCTTATAGTATACTGCCTTGCCTTGTCTTGGTTTCAGCATTGCTGACAGGTATGATGGGCTCAAATGTGGCAGAAGAGCTTGGTTAAAATCAAAAATTTGACTTCAGTTTCAGATAGAATAAACAACTGTTCCCCACAGTTCCCCACCCACAATGTATAAAATTGACATGTAAGCCCACCCCTGGGCTGCAAAACACACTAATACTAATCTTTTTTACAATTTTGAATTTACAAAAGTTTGGAGGGCTCAGCATTTATGATGTTCAAAGTTAAATATGCAAACATTCATGGATGTGTGTTTAATAAATGATCACATATTGTTTGTTTGGTAACCCAATATTCTCTGCAAAGAAGATTCCATTGTTTATGGAATATGCATGCATAAATGTTTTCAAATTTAACTTTGAACACCATACTTATTAGGGAGGTTCATGATAGCTTCTTTCAAGGAGCAATTTTATCTTGTGCAAGAAACTGAAGCACTGCTGCAGACTAAAAAATTTGGTGTGAAAGTTTACATTTTTGCTAAGAAATTTTACTTCAGCAATGTGCAAGCAAGAAAAAAAAAACAAGAGCAAGAACCAAAAAACAATATTGTGACCCCCGCTATTGTAAGCAGTGATGTTATAATTAACCCAGTGGTCTTTTCATTGTGGTGTGCATGTTTTCAGACAAGGCTGCCAAAACCCATAAATTTGGGCTTAAATGATGCATTAGAGATTTCAGCAGGTACCCGTTTGTGGGTACCTGGTACCCGTTTGTGGGTACCTGGTACCCGTTTGCAGGTACCTGGTACTCATTTGCAGGTACCTGGTACCCGTTTGCATGTACCTGTTTTCCAAAGCGGGTACCCAGAAACAGGTGCGGGTGTCAACATTTGGGGTAAAAACAGGCAGGTACCTGAGTACCCGCCCTGGGAATTCTTCCCCTGAAGAATTTAAATTATCATTGGCAGTGCAACACTTCCTTTTTTGGGTGTTGGGCTGCACAAAGGTGTCAGCAACCCATGTAGGACACTGGCTGTTGTCCTACATGGGTTGATTTGTTAAGGCCGGAGGGAACCCTCCTGCATTTGAGATGGTGTACAGTCTTGGCGACTGGAGGAATCCCTCCAGTCATCAAGATGGTGTACAGTAGTGGGATTCAAAGTTGATTTTCAAACAGGATTCTACATGAATACACAAGGTCAAGAGGTTCAGAATTTTAGTTTTCTGGAACTTCTGGTTCCTCTTTGTTTGGAACATTTCTCAAAAATTCTGTGATCTGGATGATGTTGTGTAGAATTCTGTTCAAAAATCAACTTTGAAACCCCCTAGTCTTCATCAATGGAAATTGAATAAGTCAAATGAGGCCAAGCAAAAGGGTAAAGCTAAAGATAGATCAGAGAGAAGATAAAGTGCAAAGTGGTGATAGAATGTTTTTTTTTCTTTATTCCTTTATTTCTATTTTAATCTTACTCATATATCTAGTAAATTTCAATCATATATTTAGTAAGCCATGCAAGAATTCAAGGGTGATATCAACGGTGGGCCGCTACGCTACGCTACGCTAAATGGCCATTTAGCGTTAGCGTAGCTGCTGTTGCAGCAACCTTTTTTTGTGTAGTGTTAGTTTGCGCTACAGCCCACTACGCTACGCTAACTTTTAGCGGCGCTAACAACACA